TGCTCTGTGGTAATAAGTATCTCTTTCAGATTTATGGTGGTGGTAATACTGGATCACTGGCATTTAGCTTGTAAAAAAAAGGAAATTGGACATTTGTTTTATAAATTGATTATTGAACTTAGAAAACATTATACTGTTAATAAATTTTAGTAAAGGTAGGATATTAACCTTTAAAAAAATGTATTTAACAATATTTTTATTTGCAGGAAGAGAAAATTAATTTAAAAATGACATCCCTAGAACAAAACTTGATGAAAGTAACAAAAGTAGTTGAAGAACAAGTTGATTCAGTTATAGACCAAATTGATAATTTGGATGTAAATGATTTGGAACAGTTGCGAATAAATCGTATTAAGGAACTTCAAAAACAAGAGGAACAAAAAAAAATTTGGCTAAACAATGATCATGGAAAATATGAAGAGCTGGCAGAAGAGAAAATGTTTTTTGACATTATTAAAAAATCAGAAAATGTAGTTATACACTTTTATACAAATACATCTCCACGTTGTCCAATAGTTGACAAGCATTTAAAAGTTCTGTCAAAGAAACATATTGAAACACGTTTTACAAAACTAAATGCAGAGAAATGCCCTTTCCTTGCTGAAAATTTAAAAATTAAAACGATACCTACTATAGTGTTAATACATAATAGTATCATGGTTGACAAAATTGTTGGTTTCTCCCAATTAGGAAACAGGGATGATTTCAGCACGGAAATGCTCGAGTGGAGAATTGCTCAGAATAATATAATTAATTATGAAGGCGATCTATCAACTCCGCCAGATTTACAAGAAAAAAAATCTAAGAGTAGCAATAAAAAAATAAGAGATAGTTTATATAACAGGGATGATGATGATATAGATATTGAGGAGTATGGTTTAGCAAGAGACAACATAAAATCTGAATTATTACAAAAAACTGTGCCGCTAGAATTGACTCCTGAAGAAGCTGCTGAGTTAGAGTTAGACTGAATTAACAATTTCAATATATTGAAAATATGTGTTTGGTTATTTTTTGACACATTTGTATAGCTTTTTATTTTTTGCTGAATTGAAGTAGTATATTAATATTTTTTGTAAAATAACTAATATGTAACTAAAACTACTAAAAACAAAAAAATTCTCCGAATAGGATTAGATAATATAGTAATAGAAAACATTAATATTAATTTATTTTTTACTGCATTCAAAACTGAAAAATACATTTGTTATAAAATTCTAACTTTTTCTTGGTTACACACCGATTTATAAATTTATATAATCTTACTCTTTTTTTTTGTAAAATATAATTTCAAATATAATTTTATTAAACTACTATTTATCCAAATAACTCAAAATATTGTTTAATTAATGAAATTAAATGGCCATGGAACTTTGATTAATGAGTTATCTAGTATATATTTTATTTTAAAAATGCCATTGTGGTGCTTATAAGAAAAAACATTTCAATTCTGTTGGAATGATGCTATTTTTAAATTAATTTCTTAACTTAAACAACCAGGGTCAACACTTCCATAACCAATAAAAATTATATATATTTCACATCGTATTTGGAACTATATTTTTAGAAAATCATAAAATTTTGTTTTAGTGGTTAGTTTCAAAATTGTTTTTTGTTTAAGGAAATGGTAACAATAAGTTAAACAGAATGAGTGGTTCATTTCTCAAAAAAAAAAGTTTGTAGACAAATATGACACCAATATTTTTAGTTATACAGGGTTTATAGATACTATCAAACCTGTTACATTTTCAGAAAGAATATGATCTTCCTATGACGAGGCCACCCAAAAAAAGTACGTTATTTCAAACGCATCAAATTTTTTAATAAATAATTCACTCCAATTTTAACATTACTCAACATATTTTATTTTAATTAAACAAACACTTAAGAAATTAACAATTGATGTGATATTTAATTCAAATAATTTCAGTTTCTCTTTAATAAATTTCCAATTCAAAAATAATAATTTTCTATTTTTTTTTTAAATTGTTTAAAAAAATTTAAATCATTGTATAGATAAGTTGTTTTTATTAAATATACTACATTTTTAAACACAAATATTTACTAAAATTTTTATATTGCACAAAAAAGTACAAATTATGACAAAATCAATTTATTTCTTAGTAGGTACCTACGTAATTATTTGATTTGTTTACAAACATCGGAAATAGCTTGATCAGTTTGTGTTTCAGCCATTTCAAAACATCCTATTAAAGAAATAATGTCTTTTGGTTTTTTTGCATTTAACCACATTTTCCCATTGACACCCAAAACTATCTCATAGGGTATTTTTTTCCCCATTGTCCTTAATAAAGGATTATTAATATTTAACAATCTTTGTACCAGGTTTAAACTTATATTAATTAAAAATCCATCATTTGGTAAAATTCCCAACTTTCCAGCTTTAAAGTACGAGTCGATACAAACTAATTCTGGTTCCATTTCACGGTGAGCATTCAATAATTTTGCATAAACAACATTTCCAACTTGTACATCTGGTTTCTGTTTTTTTGTAGCCCCTTCAAATGCTAACATTGACAAGGAAGCATATTCTGCACTGCCAATATCTACCTTCAAAGTATCTCCCATTTTTTTAACTACTACACCAACTACCAAATCCCCTTTTTTGGGAATATAACGATGTCTTTTACCCTCAATCCAATACATATTAGGTTCCTTAAAACACAGTTTACCAGCTTGACTTACACATAATGTGTTGGGCTTTTCTTCATTTTGTCTTAAACCTGGTCCTATGACTGTAACTCCTCTAATAGATTTTATATCACTTATTATATCTCCTGGTAAAACTAAATCAGATAAATTTGAAGTCATTTTAATCTATTTAAACATAATGAAACGATGACATCCAGCCA